GTTGTGTACATAATGCACCTGGCACATCGCTGATCTGATTTTTATAAAATACACAACTTACCCACATTTAACCACCGTGTGAATGTTACCTGCCGTCTATTAAGTTAACCTGGATCTTCTTTTACCATCATTTCCCAAAATAAAGACCAAGGCTACTCCTTCTATGAGTCACCCAGGCTCTGAGCCTGTTTTCTCAGACTCCTGCCTGCAGCTCTTAGCTACTGGCTGTCACTCCACCTGGCCAGCACCTGCTCGCCACAGCCACAGCCCACACTCAGACTTTCATTACCTCCCTCCTTCACTGGGGCAATGGCTTCCTCACAGGGACTCCTCCTGGCATCTCGTTCCACTTCATGCCACCTACACACTGCTGCTGCAGAGCAGTCTGAAAGTACTGCTGGGGACATTTCCTTGCCCCCTCTATGGAGATTGCCACTGGCCCCAGTGAAAACCCTCATGGTGCCCTCTGCCTAGCCAAATCCCTCTCATGACATTCAGGAGATCTTTCCTCCTGTATTTTTCCTGCTTCCTCACTTTAAACTGAATGCTCAAAAAGGAGATCATTTTATCAGCTTCTCAGACTTTTCCCGTGCTCTTCTCTGCCCATCTTTACCAAAAGACCAATTCAATACCATTTCCTTTATAATGTGCCCCCTCATAGACTTTATCTCTGTTATGCTGTCTTCTTGTGAAGATTCTGAAGTCATTTACATCCCTCCAGCCCTTTGCCTTTGTTGGGTTTTATTTTAATTTTATTTTGCAGTTCTGGGGATGGAACCCAGGGCCTCCCACATGCTAAGCAAGTACTTTATCACTGAGCTACACGCCCAGCCCCATCCTTCTGTATTATAGTACTTATAATATGTCTCGGAGTACACTTCTTTCAAAGTTCAAGTCTTTGACACCTAACACATGTGTGCAGCAGATGTTCAGTATATACTTGAATAAATGTAAAATATATTCAATGCTTAAATGAATGTGAGATGCAGTCATTTAATTACTGACCTGTCCAGTCTAAAAGTTGAGCTGCAAAGGCTGGGGAGGACCAAGGTGAGGAGCCCTAGGTTCTTGTATCAACCCAGTCCACTCAGCCAGGAAAGAACTCTAGGACTTGAAGCAAGTATTTAGCTTCTATCTCTACCACAGAAAAGTGGGATTTCTGCCCACTAGGTAACCACTAGTGGTTCTTCCTTTTCTGCAATTCAGTGCAAATGGTGTTTATCTCACGCAAAGAAAAAGGCTTCTTATAACAGGTAAGGTAAAAGTAAACTTTAAAAAACATATCAAATAGTGATCACATGTGTTTTGGTTTTGTTGTTGTTTTTTTGTGAGAAGTTTTGGTGCTGGATATTGAACCCAGGGTGTCCCATGCTAGGTGAGTGTTTTACCATTGAACTACACCCACAACTCCTATTTCGTTTTGAAATTATGAGATCTGGATAAAAGTAAGCATTAACATAACCACATACTTCTGAAGCTTAATAACTATGTTCTGCTTTTAATCCTCCTACAAAATCCATACTTTGATAAAAGATCTAACTCTGAGATTGGCTTACTGTGGTGATAAATTTCACTACAGATTAGTGCTTTGTTTTAACTACAAGAAAAAGATCAGAGAAATTCTGCTGTAATTGAAAACAGTATTAATATAATATTTTATACAGGAAAAATCCGAAGTTTACATTTTCAAAGCTCTGCTTATTATATTGTCAAGTATATAACATTTACTAAACCTTAATGAAACAATAAATAGAAAACAAGAAGTTAAATAATATAGTTGAAGATTCCACTCCAATCTAAAATAACACAGGACAGGTGCATGATGGGGGAAGGAGAGAATTACAATGTAAAAGAGATATAATACTGTCATTAAAATGGACAAGTGTTAGCAGTAGAAAGAACAGACTAAGGGGAGATGTTTTAAAATGGTTTTGAAGAGAAAAATAGGATTGGGGCTCTCCACATACTCAAATCAGTTTATATAAGAAAGGGCTAAACACGCTTATTTGGAAAACCATGGATCTAAACCCAGCATGGGGAGAGAGGCATGCCTGTAGTCCCAATGCTGGAGAATCACAAGTTCAAGCCCAGCCTGAGCAATTTAAGAAGAAGTTCTTTCTCAAAATAAAATTTTAAAAATCTGGGGGTGGAGCTCAGCAATAGAGTGCTTGCCAAGCATATATGGGAGGCCCTGAGTTCAAACCCCAGTGAAAGAAAGGAAGGAAGGAAAGAAGGAAGGGAGGGAGGGAGGAAGGAAGAAAAAGAAAAATCACCAATCTAATTCAATCAATAAACCAGCAGTTTTGAAATAAATGATTTTGAATGCAATCAGTAGTTCTCGTAGGTTTTGTGCTAAAAGAATGAAAAAAAAAAAAAAAAGCATGTAAGAGGGGGGGGGGGGGGGGGCGATCTTTGGTCAGAAAACTACTTATTAAATTCTTCATCGTCATTCACAGAGCAGAGAGCAGCAGCCCTCTAGGGCGGACAGGGCCTCCTGCTTCAAAGCCCAAGCCATGGGCGAACAGATTCCTCCACACAGAACTGGATCGCCACCAGAAAAACAGGTACGGGTGCTCAGCCTGACTCTCCCCAGCCAGTCGCCATTATTTGAAAATGCAGAAGTCAGCATTTACGAGCTATTTGGTCTTCAGCTGCACCACTCCAGGCAGCGCGACAGGCTTGGGGAAAACCCCTTTACCTGGGTCCGGAGAAAGAATGACGGACAGCTGAAGCCCCAGGTCGGACGCCCCGCTGCGCCGTGACTCACACTCACCCGCAGGGGGAAAAAAAATACCCTTCCTCCAGTCAGGTCATTTTTTCACTTGGATCTGTTTTTCCTTCCCAGCGGGATGTAACACTTGACAGGTTTATAAACAAGCTTTTAGTTGTAAAAACAGAATTCAGAAACACTATCCAATGAAAAAACACTGAACCTCCCCAAATACAACGGGGAGGAATCCTAATAAAACATGTATTGGTTGCTCATTAACCAATGAATGAATTAACTAAAATTTTACTTCTCTAAAATGTGTATAAGAGGTCAAGAGAGGAAAATAGTCAATTTAATGGGTACTGATCATTGTCAATTTGAAAGACAAGAGGGATGAGGGTGCAACTCAGGATACAGCACGTTCCTGGGCGCGTGTGGGCCCATGGATTTGATCACAGAACCACACGCACAAAAAAAAAAAAAAAAAGGAAGGAAGGAAATGAAAGGAAAGAAAAGAAATCCAGGTTAGTAAAAGAATATTAATAGGGGCCAAATAAACATTTAATTCATAAACTATCTAAAAGGAGCTCATCGGAATCCTTTCATATTCTGACTTGGATTTAAACTGTGTGTAATACACACATTTAAAAGACCGTGCCTTCCAAATCCTGGAATACCGCAACAGAAAAGTAAAATTTCTGGCGAATTTTTTTAACGAACTTAAAAGCCCAAGCTTTTATCCCTCCTATCGCTTGGCACATTTTTAATGGAAATCCCCAAAAACATTTTATTCAGAAAAAAAAAAAAGCTCCAAAACTTAGACAATAAAAAGGAAACACAAAGGAAAAAAAACCCAATATACATATATCAGAATGCTCCGGGAGAAAAAAAATCCAAGCAGAAAACGGGTTGCAACTTGTATAGTGCCTGCTTTCAAATCTGCTTGCAAAATAGAGGTTGCCCCTCCTCTCCCTAAGGCCTCAACGCGGGGTAAATAATCTGGCACTAGGGCCTCTTTCCGGACGAGGGAAAGGCTGGCAGGGGGCGGGGAGGGTGCGGGTCGCAAAACTCTCACGGCTCACGTGGGCAATCAGAGTCCAACTCCCAGGACTGGGTAAAAAAAAAAAAAAAAAAAAAAAAAAAAAAAAAATCCTGTTCATTACCTTTCCTATCATAAAACAAAGACCTCCTAGGTCTACTTCCGTGACGATCAAGCCAAGTAGGCACAGCCTTCTTGCCAGTGGGCCTCTCCAGAGCGCTTTAGCCGGAGCACCACCCCCGCCAGGGCCGCCCCCAGCTCCCAGACCACACGGTGCAGATCAAAGGGCAGAACCTGAGCCCGTGCTTTGCGACCAAGGCACTGGGGAAGTTCGTCTAATACTTTTTTTCCCCCCAGCGGGAAACAAAGGGCCCAGACGCGGAGCCACAGGTGCTACAGCGTGGCCACCCAGAGGGATCAAGCGCGTCCCAGTAAAGCTCTATCTGGAGCGCAGCAGTGTTGCCAGCCTAGCTGTCGCCCCTGAAGAAAAGCTTCATTTGCCGGGACAGGAGCGTCCCAGGCCTGGTCTCCTCGGGACCCGACCCCGCTCCACCAAGACGCTCAGCCTGCGCAGACGCCAGCGGGTGGCGGAGCAGCCCCGGGGCCCCCGCTATCGTGGTTCTGAGGTGACCAGGAATTTGGGGTAAGCCAGTACAGATGGTGGTGGAACGATCGCGGCCACCAGATAGCGCCCGGAGGCCCCCACTTCTCTACAGTTTTACTTTTTATTATAATTAAAGTTGGGTGTTGTAGTCGCAGCCCCGCCTCTCCTGACCTCCCACCAGCTGGCGGGAACAAAGGCAACTGCAGCCTGGCCGGGCTACGTAGGTGGCAACCCCGGGACCGCAGAGAGAGGGCCGCACACTGCGCCCCTACTGGTCCGCTCGCCTCGCCTGTGAGGGCGGGGTGGGGGATGACGCCCCCTCTGGCCTCCAGCCCGGGCTGGCGGGGAGTGGAAGATGGGACCAAGTCCCATCAGGTAGGAAGGGAGCCGCCCCTGTCCGGGCACTCACACACACCTGGATCAGAGAGGCAGCGCTGGGTGTCAGGACGCTTGGGTCCAGCTCCCAGCGCGGCCAGCAAGTGTTCTGTGACCTCGGGCAAACATTTTTCTCCTTCCAAACCTGGGTTTCCTGATGGCCACTTGAGAACGTGTCCCTCCCCGTCCCAAAGTCCTAGGATTTTGCTAAAAGGTGGACGCCCCGGAGCCGGACCCCGAGCCCCACGCTCTGGCTCGGGGCGGGTACCCACCAGTAGCCGTCCGAGTTCTGGTCGTTGACGGTACAGCGCCGCGAGTAGTACATCCTGCTGGTGCCGCCGCCGCCGCCGCCCCCGCCGCCGCCGCCGCCGCAGGTCATCTCGTAGCGCAGGTCCGGGCCGGAGTCGGCTCGGGTCATGCGGCCCAGGGTGTTGATCCGCGGGTGGGAGCCCCCGTTGCAACTCATGTCGGCGGTCACTCAGGAGAGTGGCTCAGCGCCGAGGCATAGGCGAGGCGGGCCCGCTCGGAGAAGGTGGACGGGGCCCGAGCGAAGGCGGACAACCGGGAAGCGGGTGGGGGAGCGCAGGAGGGTCGCGGGGACGCTCCTGTCCACCAGGACCGTCCCGGCCGCAGCGAGAGCAGGGACGGCGACCGGCCCGAAGCTAGAGCGGGAGGAAGAGCTGTGGCTCCGAGGGCGGCGAGGGCGCAGAGGAGCTGGGTCGGGGCTGGGTGTTGGTGTTGGTCGGCGGCGGAGCGAGTCTCCTCCCCGCTGGCACCCGGCGCCGAAGCCACACCTGGCCGGTTTCTTCCCAGGGCGGGGCGTGGCCGCCGCGCCTCCCCCGCCCCCCCGCGGGTGTCACGGACGCGCTCCGGCCGCCCCTCCCCACCTGCGGCGGCCGACCCGCGGCTCCGCCCTGCGCCACCAAGACCTGAGTAACGCCAGGCGGGGCGGGGTCCGGGCGACCTGACCGCCCCAGGCGTGGCGACCCCGCGAAGGAGGGGCGCTCAGAGGGCTGTTGTGGCCGGAGCTCTGGTCACACTAGCCCAGAAAACAGGTCCTAGCTTTTGAGGATTTCCTGTCTCCAACTCGAAAATAAACTGGAATGAAAGGGCCACTCAATTGGACAATTAGTTATTAACATTTACTTTTGCTCATCCCTGGGATGATGCCAAACAAGCTTCCAATAGAAACACAATTCAAAAGAGAATGCATAGGTGATGGGATTTTTTTTAAAGTTTTCTTTGACTCCGGTAATCCAGGAAATTGCCTCTGATTTCCAACATGTAAAAACTACTTTTAAAAACTAATACCACTTTATGGAAAAGTCTTCACCAAAAAATAATAATTTATTTGGCATGAAGAGAAAAATACAACTATTTTTCGTTGGCTAATATGAAAATGTAAGTTGCCATTTCTTTATTCCCCCTTTTAAATGATCACTTTCAACAAGAAGTTGTGAACGCTTCAACCTCAATACTCGGTTTCCAATTTTTGTAAAAGAACCTCGGATATGCTTGTATCAGACGCTCCCCTGCGCACCTCCCCATCTCCCCTCCCCCGTTCCTTTGAAGCTCAAAGCTTTGAGAACATGTGAGTGGCAGAGGCCCTCCTAGGACTTGAGCCTGAGGGCGACAGAGAACCCTGGACAGATACCAATCCACTTGGTACAGATGAGTAACTCTGAGCCAGAACATTCCAACGACTTGTTCCAGGGCCACTCCCAGTTGGTAGCTGAGTGTTAACTACACCGTGGTCTCCACCAACCCCGTTTAGATATAGACCCAGTCACACCATCAATAAAAAGCTGTTTGTGCAATTTGGAAAACTGTTCTACTCTTTAATAAACATCGTTTAAAGATCCTTATAATAAACATTTCTTATCTTCACAAACAGTGCTCATTGATTTGTCTTATTAAACAATATATTTCTGAAATGTTTATGAACTGAAAAAAGAAACCAAAAAATATGTACACACTACATACAAACTTAAGTATATGTATATATACATAACTACATTTGCATATTCTAAAGGAAGTGGAAGATAATTTTCTAACTTTTCCGTATTTGTGCCTCTAGACACTTAAACCTTTTAGGCACAACTTTCAACCAAACATCTTGCTCTTTTTCTTCACAGTTGACCAGAGCTAATCAGTTTGAATCCAAGGAATCAAACATACAAAGAGCCCTTCACAGTGGTGCAGGCCTGTAATCCCATCAACTGGGGAGGTTAAGGCAAGAGGATGATAAATTTCAGTCCAGCCTCACCAACTTAACCAAGATCCTGTCTCAAAATAAATTTTTAAAAGGAACTAGGGATGTAGCACTGGATAGCACTCCCCTTACAATGAGATAAAAGTTCAGCACTGTTAACAGCTTCTCAATTTCCTGTCACTTTTAATAAAGGTGAATTCAATCAAGTGTTCAAATGATTATGGTAACACTAATGGACAGAGTTTCTCCTGAAACAGAATGAATGCTATAAGTCAGCCTTAGCATAACCAGCCCATAATGTCCATTGGTTGGAGAGGAGAAAGGATATTTCTGGTGTTAGTGAATAATACACAGATTTTGATGTAGGATGATTTCCTTCTATGCTCCTCATTTGTTCAGCAAATAATAATAACCTGTTACATGCAAAGGTCAGTATCAGACTCTGCAAAAGACACAAATGAGTAAGATACAGCCTCTACCCTTAAAATATGTCATAGTAAAACTTTAAACATTTCAGGGATTCCCCTTTTCCAACAATTTGCAATAAAAAGGACATGCAATTGCAGGGCAGCATTCTCCTTTAAAACAAGATCCATGGTTGTGAATCACCTCCTCAGCTAAGCGGCACCTCTGAGAGCTCATGTTGGATATTCAGGAACCAGGCTCTGCATGGTCCCAGGCACCACCCAGACTCAGAGCTGTTTAGTCTGCTTAGAAATGGTTAGAGGTGAAAAGCACAGTTCACCAATTACCTCTGTCTACCACTCCTTCCTAATATGCCCTTTTGTGTCCTGCCCTCCTTGTACTCAAAGGGCTTCCAACTAACCAAACATGCCAAGTCTGAGAAAACCGTGAATTTTAATTCTCTCTCTCTAAGGGTAACACAGGTGAATGAAAGGATGGAGTAACTAGACTGACATGCTAGGAAGATGAAATCCAGATGTGCACACAGTATTAGTTGTCTAGGTTAGCTCATCTCATGACAAAAGTTGAACACCAAGAGATCATATTTCTGATCTTTTTTTTTTTTTTTTGGTGGGGGGAATACTGGGGATTGAACTCCAGGGCACTGGACCACTGAGCCACATCCCCAGCCCTATTTTATATTTTATTTAGAGAGAGGGTCTCATTGAGTTGCTTAGAGCTTACTTTTGCTGAGGCTGACTTTGAACTCCGGATCCTCCTGCCTCAGCCTCCTGAGATGCGGGGATTACAGGTGTGCATCACTGAAACGGGCCATATTTCTGATCTTTGTGCTACAGTTTACTTGGGGAAAAGCTCAGCTTCTTCATGTGCAAAATGGAAATAATAGTACTCATTTTTCCAAACTTCCAGATCAACAGTGAGGATCAGATGAGATCAAATATGTGATCATTCTTGAAAACTGTGAAATATTACAAAAAGCTTAAGGTTCCAACCATTAACTCAAAAGTTCTTGGCTAAATGTGAAAATTTAAATGTTAATGTCTCCATCTGTATCCCATTTATAAACCAATAAACCTCCTGCTTGGAGATGCTTAATATTAATTCATTTAAAAATCCATATTAATATTTATTATGTGCCACACAAAAGACTCAATGCTGGACATGGAAAGGTCAATAAGGCTGAGCTCCTCCCCATAGGGTGTCAAAATCTGCATTAGGAAAGCAATTGCATTAGACATGCTATAATAAAGGTATATTTACACAGTCATGGGAACACAATAAAAGAATCTAAAAGCAGTTTATTTCTTGCAACCAGATTTTTAAAAGTTCAGAATCCAAAGTCTGGCAAAGTCTTCACCAGCTGACCTGAATAAGGTCAGCTATTTTTTTCCCTGCCACTTATACATACTTCCCCTTTACTGATAGAGAGGGATCACTGACAGGCAACCTTCTCTCTGGCTGACCTTAGAAATGACCTTGCAGTTTAGAAAGAGCCATCTGCCATATCCTAAGCAGATTTTTTTAAAAAAAATTGAACAGAACACCTTGATTTCAATGAAAGTAAGAAGAATCATTTACTTGCTCAAAAATCCCATGGGAACTCCTTATCTCTTTGTTGGTAAATGATATCCCTTTGTCAGAGAACAATTTACAGCTTGTGAGTTAAAATAGGCAGTCTGCCTGCCAGAGGAGTAGTGTTTTAGTAAATCAGAACCACAGACAGAAACTAGAAATGAAATATAATGTGGGTAAATAAAATGCCTATTAAAATGGCAGGCATTTTTTAAATAAAATATTTAGCAGCTAAGGGTGTAGCTCAGTGGTAGAAAGAAATAAAGAAGGAAGGAAGGAGGGAGGGAGGGAGGGAGGGAAAGAGACTATGCATACATATTTGTTTGAGTATGTCTACCCTTTGCTACTCTTTCACTTGTGTGAGCAAATTAGAAAATAATTTTCCACCCACCAAATTACAAAAATAAAATTGATCTCTCCTAAAGTTGTTGAAACTATTCAAAGTTTTTTTATTGAAGAAAGCAGTTTTAAAAAAATATATATCAAGGGAATTTCAGAAATAGGAAAATGTTTGAAAGGTATACACATGAGTCCAAAAACTGTCTATCTTTGCTTTTGTTTAAGCATCCTTAGTGACAGGAAAATATTTGTTTGTTGTGGGTTTTTGGTTTTGCCAGGGGAAGGTGGTTTACTTTTTAGAAATTAAGTAACTGAGAAGAATATCTCAAATACATTTTCTGTCACTGCAGTGGTAAGATTTTTCTGTAAATGTTGACACTTGTTTTGATTTTTGCATAGGTAATATGTAACACATTGTGCTGACCTTTATGTTTTTAGAGTACTGTATTTTTTGGAAAGCCTATCGTTGGGTAACAAGGATATTGGATACATCCATACTTTCTAGTCTTAATCCCTTTTTAATTAAGAGTCCAAGTTGGTGAGATGGTCAAGGGTGCCGAGACAGCAGCATAGCTATGGACCACAAAGGGCCACCCACACCCTTGGCTGAGTGATGTCTAACCCACCAAGCTAAATAATATTTTAGTGGGCAAGTCACATAGACCATAAGTATAATTCAAGAGCCAAATAATTGACCTTCTTTAATATACTCTCAAAGCAATTTCCTGAGCTCATCATGATTGTGAGGATCTGTCAGTCTAACTAACCCACTGGAATTGGGACAGTTACCCAAACTTCTATAAATATCATGTCAAGATGCAGATTACTGCTGGTAAACCCAGATATCAGTAAATACCGCACAGATACAGCATGTGCTAATAGTTACGTAAAGGATCATAATTAGCTTTTCAGCCTTTACTGAAGGAATTCAAAATTTATACTCTATGTATGGAGTTTCAGAAATGAAAACCGCTTTTAAGAGCTTTTATACCAGTTATTTGGGCTTGGGTTTTTTTTCTTTTTCTCTCTTGGTTCTTGGGATGGACTCATGCTCTCTGCCACTGAGGTAGCCCCTAGTCCCTACGCCACATGTTTTCAAAACTTTTAAAGCCTCAGACCTGTTTCCACAAATGAAACCCCCAGAAGACAGCCAGCAACAGAAA